TCAATTTGAAAATTTTGGTCCAAAATGACCTAATTTGGGATGAAAATATAAGTCTGGAGTCGAAATGGAGGTGATTTTTGTTATCAGCACACAAAAAACTGTTGGAATCAATATAAAACTCAATTCAAAAAATTTTTGGGCAAAATTTGGTTAAAAATTTTGGGAAGCGTGAGTTTGGGGAAAAAATTTGGGAAATTATTTTTGAGTTCAGCTCATTAAACACTGCAGGAAACAATATAAAACTCGACCTGAAAATTTGGTCCGAAATGACCTAATTTTAGATGAAAATTAAGTCTGGAGTAGAAATGGAAGTGTTTTCATAATCAGCTCTCCGAAAACTCCAAAAGTCAATATGAGATTCGATAGAAAAATATTGATATCAAATTGATGAATAATGGGTAAAGAATGGGTTGGTCTTCATGGATCACCCTTTGTCGTCACCAATACCCCGATGCCACACCAATGGATTCCTTCAGTCGAGTAACATTCCATTGCCAGCATGAATCGCTTAATTTGGGTACTTGTCTGCTTGAGTCACTATTAGATAATCTTTTTTTTCAAACTCATGAATTCACAAATTTATTAGTTATATTTTAGAAGCCTTTTTCATTCTTTCATTTAAAAACCCGTGAATTAAACAATATAGACTGGAATATGTAATCATAGTTTACATTAAGTGACTCAGTTTAGGGCAGGCTGATCTGAAACATTTGACGGAGAACAAGTTTTGTCAAATTCAGTGAATCGTCTCATGAAGTCAAATGCAGAGGCCACTTGTTGCTCAATATGCCAACATAATTTACCTTATTCATGCCTCGTGATATTTAATCTTTTGGGGAAAAAGAATACATTATAATATTAACATTGGGCTTACATTCAGAGAGCCAGCTTTTAAACCATTACCAAAACTTAGTTCCAGTTGTCGGACACAAACTTTGGTGAAGTGAAAGGAATCGTGTCATTAAATCCAATTACCAAGTCACCCACCGCTCAAAACCTGAATCGTCTCCTTGAACCCAATATTAATTCAAAATCTGTTAGCACAAATTCATTGCACTAAATACATCTATATATGGATTCTTTTAATCAATAGATGTTAGTACTAGAATATTTTTGTTAGCTTGCAGCATTGCAATAGAATGTCTTTCCCGAGACAAAACCCAAAACAAATTTAAAATTTTTTCTAATTTTAACAGAAGTTTTTCATGCATTTACCTGATTTGATTTACTATGAAATTTAAAAAAAAGGAAATATCAGAGAGAATAAAATAAGTAGATGCACACAAAGGCAAAGAAAAATTCTACCTATTTTCAATCCACAACTACAAACACAGTGCACTGACCTGAAGGGAAAACCCCGAGGGGGAGGGGGGGAGGGGAAAGAAAAACGCAAACCATTCTCACATTCAGTTTTCGTATTTTCCTCTGTTGACACTCCGGAAGGGTTTCAATCATTCTAGAATGTTAAAAAACTATCTCAGTACCTATTTGAGAAACCCTTTGCTCTTTTGGTTTTTTTATTTGCACAAGTGCGGGCCCGTCTTGCAGACGGCTTTCAAGCGCGGCAGCTGGATGAGAAATTGGGCAGCCACACCGCCGCCTACCCAAAAACCAGCTAATTACCTAGTTTAAAACGATGTTTTGAAAATTTCAAACGATGATAATTTTTTTTCTGAGAAAAATCCCCTGTAGGATGTTTAGGGACACCCGGTGTGAAATTTGGATACTATTCGTTCAGTAGTTGCTGAGAAAAGTGAGTGATTACATACAGACAGACAGAGAGACGGACAGACAGACTCACGACCAGTCACTTTTTGGGCCCCCAACACGGCAAGGGCTTCGCTATCGCTCAGCCAAAAAAAAAACTTGGAATTTTCTGAGTATGGGCTTTTAATAAGTCCAAAATCTCCGATGATTTTTTGAATTAGTTTTTTGTAGGGATAGTACCAAAAAACATTTTTTGAACAGTGTGTGCCTGCGCCCCTGTTGTAGGTTTTCACCCAAACAGATTTCAGAAATGAAATAATTTAAAGTGGCAGAGGTTAGACCCCCAGTCCGATTCCTAATGTTGACTTTCCTGCAGGTTTGGCGGTGGACCTGGGGATGGTGATCCTCTTCAAAGCCATCCCCCCCGAGAGCACGGACGGGGAGCGGCTGGAGAAGTCACCGGAGTGCGCGCACCCCCGGGGTGTGCGTCAACCCTACCACATCAAGTCTCTGTGAGAGAGCTCGACTGTACCTGGCCAACTTTATTAATAGTCACGGTGGTACACTGTTTAAAAAAAAGTTGAAATCTCTGAAGACGTTCATGGTTGACCGACTCTTCTAGGAGTCAATCAGATGGTTTACGTGATTTTTGTCTCCTCGACAGACAGGCATGTGTCCACCCCCACCCGTATTCATTCGAATACCCCCTTCACAAACCGGACCTCGCAGGAAGGAACACCCTCTGGTCAGCGACACGCCGCAACCGAAACACCAACTCTCTCTCTCTCTCTCTCTCTCTCTCTCTCTCTCTCTCTCTCTCTCTCTCTCTCTCTCTCTCTCTCTCCTCTCTCTCTCTCTCTCTCGGCCTGCCACGGACAGGGCCCGATGTGATAATAACTGGAATCAATCGCTCTATCAAACGATTGTTTCCGCGAGGTCAATTAAACATCCGGTTCCGCGTTCCGGCGAAGGGCGCGCCGATTTATTGCTGCCGATTATGTGTGGCCGGCCGCCCGTTTTCATTCATCAAGTGGCAAATTGATGAGTTTGTTATTTTTTGTTCTTTTTTGGGGGGAAGATGGTTGTCAGGACGCGTGTTTGATTTGACCTGTACTGTCCAACTGTTGAAACGGTCCGAGTTGACGTCAAACAAAACGAACTACGCGGTGACTCACCTGTTTATGCTTTCATTGGACTCGGAAAGCCCAGAGGCCCGATCTATCTGCAATGGTCGACTACCCTAATGATCTGACCGAGCTTAAGGTGACATCTCTCTCCTACCCCCCCCCCTCTCTCCCTTCCTCCCTCCCCCTCTCTCTCCTTGATCGATCGATCGAATGACACTGTGGAGATGAGGTCAGGTTGAATCCTCCACTGCAAAAATTGTCAAGTCCAAATAACTGCAAGTACTGATAGTTTTAGTTCAGCTGACCACGGGTTGCTTCAGTCAGCATCACATTTCCAAGAAAATAAACAAGACTGTAATCAACTTTTGTTGACAGTGTTGAGTCCTTGATGCCGCTGGCTCGATCACTTCGGCCCAAAGTCGCGCGAGTCGTATTCCACGCGGCGTTTCCAGGCTTTTGTCTTTAGCGCGCGTCCGTCCGAGGAGGCGACCCTCACGATCTTCTCCAGTGTCGTGGTTGCCCAAATAAGGCCCCGCCGCACAGTGGGCCAGAAGACCGGTGGAGGCGGCCGCAACTCTTCACGCGTTTTGAGCTCCAGAGTCGCTAAGCAGGACTCGGACCGAACGTGTGACCCCACCGATGGATTCCTCGTTCGGAGAGCAATCCATTGGTGGGGTCACACGTTCGCTTCGAGTCCCATTTAGCGACTCTGGAGCTCAAAACGCGTCTCGAGTTTTGTCCGCCTCCACCGGTCTTCTGGCCCACTGTGCGCCGCATGATTTGTGGCGTCCGCGCCTCCGAGTCGTAAAGCTCTGATATTCTATTCCGCGTGCATGGGGGAGGACGGCGCGGCGCGGGCAGGTGGCGTTTGAATGGCGCCACTTTGGAAACCTTTAGCGCCTCACGAGTGGCGCGGCATGGCGCCGCCTCGCGCCGCCGCGACACTGGGAACTAAACTACTGTCCGGTCACGTACAGTCGCGCAACGCGATGGAATGTCTCGAAAGACGGATTCGACTCTCGTTCTGCGGAAGAATGACACTCGAACTTTGAAAAAAAAAATCACTTTAGTGATCATTGAACTTTACTTGGAATTTGAGTGATCGTCTGGCAGAACAACGTAAATCTTCAAAGGGAGGGAATCCCACGGTAGAGGCGAATGCCACACAATTTACTTCTAAGAAACGCCGTACAGCCATGATTCTGAGCTCAATCGTTCTCAGTACGTTACGATAGAACTCCATCATATTTCTAAAAAAAATTGATTGTAATGCGAAAAAAACTGGTCGTAAGTTACTGAGAACTCTTCCCCGTAGGTTACTACCTTCGCTGGGCTGTCATTATACAAAGCTTTTTGTTCGTATTATGGAGAAAAGGCTCAGTTTAGGGTCTTGAGAGTGTTGCAATTCACTTCTTCGAGTTTCATTTTCGCGCTCAAATTAAAGGCGGCTTTTCGCGCCCTTTTCAATCAGCTTTCTGAAACAATCGCTGCACGCGTGGGGGGCGCGCCCGCAGACTGATCCCGAGAGTCGCTCTGTCTCTCTCGCACCTCTGCGGGACGCCCCACGAGTCCGAGAGAGACGGAGCGACGACTGCTGCATTCACGACTGCTGCATTCACGCACATCCACATTGGCATTCAGCGAGCGCGGCCCGAACGGCGGGAGAAATGTCGTTGAGTGGTACGCCTGATGCGTGCCGGGCCGGGCGGGCCCAAGGGCGGGCCGGGCCAGGGCTGCCAACTTGACAAATCGACTGGCATTCCTGTAAGTGTGATGCTACTGGCTCGAGACGTGTGATGTCTCTCTCACGCACAACGGCATTGTCTCGGTCGAGCCGTCGAACCTCGCCGGGCTTCGGCTGTGGACAAAAAAAAATGGGATTGGTGGTATGCGAACCACCAACCTCGAGAAACTTGCATTGTTAGGAAAATAAAACTTGGAAGTTTTCTGAGTACTGGTCTTTGAATAAGTCCAAAATCTCCGATGAATCTATTTTGAATTAGTTTTCTGTAGGGATAGTACCAAAAAATCATTTTTTGAACAGTGTGTGCCTTGCGCTCGCTGTTGTAGCTTGTTTTCATCAAGCAGATTGCAGAAATGAAATAAATTTAAAGTGGCAGAGAGGTTAGACCCTCAGTCCGATTCCTAATGTTGACATTCCTGCAGGTTTGGCGGCTGGACCTGGTGATGGTGATCCTCTTCAAAGCCATCCCCCTCGAGAGCACGGACGGGGAGCGGCTGGAGAAGTCACCGGAGTGCGCGCACCCCGGGCTGTGCGTCAACCCCTACCACATCAACGTCTCTGTGAGAGAGCTCGACCTGTACCTGGCCAACTTTATTAATAGTCACGGTGAGTACACTGTTTTGAAAAAAAAAAATGTTTTCTCTGAAGATGTTACATGGTTGACCCGACTCTTCTAGAGAGTCAATCAGATGGTTGACGCTGATTTTTGTCTCCTGGACAGACAGGCATGCTGTAAAAAAGAGTGCTGTAGACTAAAGTAAGCGTCAACTCTCTGGTTGACTAGGTTGACTCTTTAAAAGAGAAACAGCAGAGAAATCGATGAGACAGAAATTGTTCGAGTTTTTTTTTTTTGGTTATGTTGACTACACCCAGAAAAATGGTTTCTTGTTTTTTGATTTTCTTGGTTTTTGTACGAAAAGTAATCTTGACACAAGAAAAATTTTCTTCTTTCAAGAAAAAAAAATTTGGATCAAGAAAAATTTTCTTGCAAAAACCGAGAAAAGTTAAATTTTTTTGATCCAAGAAGTCATATTTTGGGTGTACTGCAGGGTAAACGAAAAGCGTAAAAAAAGTTTTTCTCCGAATGCATGTCATTTTCGCCGGCGAAAACAGCAAGCTGCGTCTTCAAGCGGTTTCGCCTTGTTTACTGGGAATCGAATGGAGGCACCGAGGGTCGCCGTTCGGCGTAATAAGAAGCCGAGGAAATACGGTCCGCCCAGCCCGCCAGCCCGCCAGCCCAATCTCCAAGTAATAAGACAATAAGTCAGAGTTTTCCCGCTTCGAGGTATCGATCGGTGGCAAGGCGGAGGCAAGCAAACAACGAAAAAAAAAAATGCTCACACAAAAGTTTTTAGTTCTGTTTAAGAAATTTTTAGGTAAGGAAGCAGTATTGGATTTGTAAAAAAATTTTTAAAAAAAAGAACTAACAAAATGGAAAGAAAAATGGGGAATTAATGGCGTTTACAGTAGCAGAATCGGCTTTGTAAAAAATTAATTTAAAATAACAAAATGGAAAGGAAAATAAAAAGGGAAATTAATAGCATTTTATATTTTCTCGTCGCCCGGGCAGGGCCCAAGTGTTACTCCGGATCGTCACGGCACCATTGGATTTTAGTGCGAAACTAGTCTGCGGGGACTGAGAGGACTTGCGCGTGGACTCGCGCGCGCTCCGACGGCCCCGACGGACGGGTAGTCATTTACCCACCCGCTGGGCAGGAAGCTACCGACCGGCCGCCCGGCGCGTCGCTCTGTCTCTCTCGCACCCACACGGCACGGCCAATGAGAGAGAGAGAGAGAGAGAGAGAGAGAGAGAGAGAGAGAGAGAGAGAGAGAGAGAGAGAGAGAGAGAGAGAGCCTTGCCACACGCTGCAATGTGTCGATGCCACGTTGTGTTGCATAGACAAGAGGAGTGGAATCGGGCGCGATTCGTTTTGTCGCGTGAGAGGCCACATCAGATGCTATGCATTAGCACACCGCGGAGAGAGAGAGAGAGAGAGAGAGAGAGAGAGAGAGAGAGAGAGAGAGGAATCGGTGTGGTCATCACAGGGCCACCGGCGCGATGCCCTGATGCCGATCTGCATGATGGCCGCGAGCTCGCACTCCTCCACCTTCTTCTTCTTCTTCTTCTTCTTCTTCTTCTTCTTCTTCTTCTTCTTCTTCTTCTTCTTCTTCTTCTTCTTCTTCTTCTTCTTCTTCTTCTCCCTCTTCTTCGCGGACAAAGTGCTACCGTGTTATTGCCGCGGCGGCCGGGCTGCAGCGTCGCGCGCTGCCGGTGTGCGCGCTGCGCGCTGCCAGTGTGCGCGCCTTACACCGCCTTATGTTGGCACTCCCGAGCTTTCCAAACGGCCGGCCGGCCGCGCCAGGCACTACTGCCGGACGCACGCAGGCCGTCTCTCTCGCACCCCCGCGGGACTCCCTGCGAGTGCGAGAGAGACGGCGAGGGGACGAGGAGCCCCAGGTCGTTCAATAACTCATTCTAATCTCCGCCATGCTCCGCCACCATGTGCACAGACTCGGGCGCGCTTGCCTCCTGCTCCTCAATTGTAGCAAATCAGTCGCCCCCCCCTCCCCTCTCTCTTCTCTCTCTCTCTCTCTCTCTCTCTCATCCCTCCCTCCCTCTCTCTCTCTCTCTCTCTCTTCTCACTCCCTCTCTTCTCTCTCTCTCTCTCTCTCTCTCTCTCTCTCTCTCTTTTCTCTCCTCCCTCTCTCTCTCTCTCTCTCTCTCTCTCTCTCTTCCCTCCCTCTCCTCTCTCTCCCTCTCCTCTCTCTCTCCTCTCTCTCTCTCTCTCTCTCTCTCTCTCCTCCTCTCTCTCTCTCTCTCTCTCTCTCTCTCCCTCCTCGGTGTATCTCCTCTCGCGGTTTTTTTCTTGCCCCACAAGGTTAGGCCCCAAGTGAGCAGCACTGCGTTGTGTCCGGCCGAGACGGAGGACCCAGCAGACTGATTCCGAGAGTCGTTTTCGTCGCTCTGTCTCTCTCGCACCTACACGGGACGCCCCGTGAGTGCGAGAGAGACCAGTGTGCCGGACAAGTCTGCAGGACGCGCCGAAAAGGTGGACCGCACCGAGGGATCCCTTCGGAAAGCTGTCCTTGCGTCCCTCAAAGCAGAAAACGGGGGTAACGTGACGTTCCCCGAACGGAATGCGGCGGGCCAATCTCACATCTAGGCGCGTTATATGGCGCTCCACCGTTAGGGTGCTATCTGCAGACTGATTCCGCGGGAGTCGTTTTCGTCGCTCTGTCTCTCTCGCACCTACACGGGACGCCCCGCGAGTGCGAGAGAGACAGAGCGACGAACGACTCTCAGTCTGCAGCACACTTGCACTTGCGTTTCAAGAAGCCGTCCCTTCGAGTTTCTTTTCCCAGCCCGAAGGCGGCGCAGACTATGTCAGATGGGGCCATGCGGCCAGAGCACAGTGGGCCAGAAGACCGGTGGAGGCGGCCAAAACTCGAGACGCGTTTTGAGCTCCAGAGTCGCTAAATGGGACTCGAACCGAGCTTGTAACCCCACCAATGGATTGCACTCCGAACGAGGAATCCATTGGTGGGGTCAGACGATTAGTTCGAGTCCCATTTAGCGAGTCTGGAGCTGAAATCGCGTGCAGAGTATGTCTTCTGGCCCACTGTGGGAGGGGGTTAGAGCTTGTCAAAACCATCGGGGGAAAAATAACAACCTCACTGCAAGAATTAAGACTGTTCAGACAATTAAAGTTCGTTTTTTACCGGTGATGACTCTCAACCAAATCGACGGATTTGAGACGTTTGGCGTATCCCTTCGTTTCGAGAACGAACACTCCGTCTTGATTTTGCGGGATATCCTCTGAAACCTGCCGGATCAGTTCCACTATTTTTTCATCAGTGTGTAGTAGCAAGTCCTGTTCTATCGCACGCAGAATGCTGAAGCGTGCCAGGGCGTGGCGGGCAGGGGGAGGGGGAGGGCGAGGGGGGGGGGGGAGTGGGGGGTCGCGGCGCCTGGCAGAGGCGGCGGCTCGTCCTAACGCCCTGCAGGTCGTCTCCGTCGCACTCGCGGAGCGTCCCGTAGGGGTGAGAGAGAGAGAGAGAGAGAGAGAGAGAGAGAGAGAGAGAGAGAGAGAGAGAGAGAGAGAGAGAGAGAGAGAGAGAGAGAGAGAGAGAGAGAGAGAGAGAGAGGGACGAGTCACTGTCGTACCTTAGGTCTCATTAGCTGGACAAGTTAATTAGGCGGCTGGAGAAGCTGGAGAGGCACTGGAAGTCTGGAAGCAGGCGAACAGCATTAGGTATCCCGCATACGAAATCGTCACCCCGCATCGGGCGCTATCACTATCTAAATGGATCGCGGTGCGTCGCGGTGCGAGTCTGGAGGCTCCGGACGGCCCCTCATGGAAATAGCGCCTTCCGAGCCTTTTGCAGTGGCGCGGCGCGGCGGCGGCTTTGGCGCGGCTGTCGCGGTAGAATGTGGATTTTATGCGCAGAGTGTCCGTGTGTCCGCGAAGGGCTGCGCCGAGGGCCGGGCTGCGCCTGATGGCAGGATGGGAGTGGGCGGAGCGGCGCCGAAGGACGCGTTTTGAGCTCCAGAGTCGCTAAACAGGACTCGAACCGGACGTGTGACCCCACCAATGGATTGCTCTCCGAACGAGGAATCCATTGGTGGGGTCACACGTTCGATTCGAGTCCCATTTAGCGACTCTGGAGCTCAAAACGCGTCCGTGATTTTGACCGCCGCCCACCGGTCTTCTGGCCCACTGTGTTGCTCTGGACGCTCCGATTGGCTAAGCGGGTCAGCCGATACAGTGTGCCCCACACGTCGTAAAACACGATCTTGTCGCGTCGCCTAGCAACGGGGCGTGCCACCGTAACGCCACCGCACTGCGATAGGTGTGAATTAAACGGGATAGGTGTGAACGAAACGGGCGCGGCGTTCCAATCGAGTCCGTGTTATGACTCGATGATGGTGACGTGTGTTCTGACGGGACATGTCGGCGTTGCAGCTAATGAGGCTGCACCGCGACACAGTGGGCCAGAAGACCGGGGAGACGGACAAAACTCTAGACGCGTTTTGAGCTCCAGAGTCGCCAATCAGGCCTCGAACCGAACGTGTGACCCCACCAATGGATTCCTCGTTCGGGGAGCAGTCCATTGGTGGGGTCACACGTTCGGTTCGAGTCCCGTTTAGCGAGGCTGGAGCTCAAAACGCGTTTAGAGTTTAGCTCGCCTCCAGCGGTCTTCTGGCTTACTGTGCGCGGGTACACTTAAAAATAACCTCAAAATAGAATTTTAGCAGTGTATCTTTGCCCGCTGACGAGCGGTTCCCACCGTCATTTCGAACAGTGCACCCACACGCGGCGGCACGCGCCATTGCGTCAAAGAGGCAGCCATCCGTCGGCCGGGACGCGAAGCGACGCGAGCCTGTTGCGCTGCCAGGTGCTCCCTCCCTCGCCCGTCTCTCTCGCAGTGTGCTAGCAAGGGGTGCGAGAGAGACGGAGCGTGCGTGCCGCAGTGTGCCGCCGAGATTGGCGTCATTTATATAAGGGTTGTTTACAAGCGAGGGGGAAGGTGTCGGAGCAACAGCTCGAGGTGTGCCTGCCTCCCTTCCAGTGGAGGGTGCGGCACCGCGCCACGCCACTGCCAATGATGACGTTTCCGGCAGGCAAGGGAGCAGCAGGCAGCAGCCTCCACCGGAAACAGGAGAAAGGAACAGCCTACGAGTGCTTTCCAAAGGAAGCCCTCACCGGAAGTTCTGAAAAAATGACAATCATTTCTGAAAAAAAAATACGTTTTAAAACGTTTTGTGGAAAAAAATCAGCATTATAAAAAAGTTAGCATGATAAATAAAAATTTTAAAAACTTTTTGTATTTGAAATAGCTAAGATCACTTTTTCAAAAAACCTAATAACTCTCTTTCTTTAGTACAAACAAATTACACTTTGTCTTTCTTTTTTTTTATTTCTTAAAAATAGTGAAGGGCTTGTGCAAAATTTACATTAATTCTCATTTCGTACCTTTTGTGTCCATGTTAGCCACGACTTTGAGTTGTGACATCAGCGACAAGTATCCGTGGCGTGTCCCCGCCACTCGACAGCGGAGACACACTGTAAATATTTCCAGAATGCGATGCGGGCGCGTGGCGGTGCCTCGCGGGGCGGCGAGGCGCGCGGCGAAGGGAGGAGAGAGAACACATTTCCTTGGATGCGCTCGATTTCTCTCTCCGCCCCGCGTTTCCCGGGAAGGCCTTTTTCCCCATCAAGTTAGCATCCAGTTCCTTTCGCACCATGTAGTCCCCGAGATAAGGATAAGACTCCGACCCTGTGGCACCGAGGCGCCGCACAGTGGGCCAGAAGACCGGTGGAGGCGGTCAAAATCCCGGACGCGCTTTTAGCTCCGAGTCGCTAACCAGGACTCGAACCGAACGTGCGACCCCACCAATCGATTGCTCTCCGAACGAGGAATCCATCCACGTTCGGTTCGAGTCCCATTTAGCGACTCTGGAGCTCAAAGCACGTCTAGAATTTTGGCCGCCTGCACCGGTCTTCTGGCCCACTGTGCCTCACTGGCAAAACAAGTCAAATCGACATTCTGATTTTCCAACTGCGCTAACGCTTTCCGTTTGCGAAATAAAAACCCTGGAAATTTGAATTTTTGTTAGTTGGCACTCTTCGCCCCGGCTGCTCCAGGGTGGGATGAGGGACGATGTCTACGGGGCGGGGGTCCAGGAGACCGGCCAGGCCGGGCTAGGCCCCTGTGCTGACTCAGCGCGGACGGACAGGGCTGGGCCGGCAGGGCTGAGCTCGCTGGGTGTGCAGGGCGTGGGGCTGGCACCGTGGGGTTGGCACCTCTGGAGAGCCCTCTTCGCTGAGACGCGCCGAGGGCAGGCAAGGGTTGGTAAAGCCTCTCGGATATAAATACTGCGGGGATAAAATCCTCAAACTCCTTTGCCTTCGCCGCCCCGTTTTTGCGTCTCTCGCTCTTAATCGTCGTCGCACAGTGGCCCAGAAGACCGGTGGAGGCGGTCAGAAGCCCGGACGCGTTTTGAGCTACAGAGTCGCTAAATGGGACTCGAACCGAACGTGTGACCCCACCAATGGATTGCTCGTTCGGAGAGCAATCCATTGGTAGGGTGACACGTCCGGTTCGAGTCCCATTTAGCGACTCTGGAGCTCAAAACGCGTCTAGAGTTTTGGCCGCCTCCACCGGTCTTCTGGCCCACTGTGCGCCCCGCTCGGCCCGGCCGGAGTCTGGAGTCCGGGGCTGGTGGCTGGAGGGCGGTGAAGTGCCTCTAGGGCCACTGGAAAAGGGCTTCTCCAGTGCTTTGCGGTCTGGGACCTAGCAGAGGGCAATCGGACCGCACCACCCTTCACAGAATGGCGAATTTTAAAAAATGATTTCGAACTTCCCTCGTCCCGCCGCGGCTGTCGAGGTCTGTTCCGCTCCCACACCGGAAGTCCACGCTACCAGTGTACGGCCGGCATGCCGATGCGGCACGCACTCTGCCACCGCTTTGCAGTGTAGGCACGGCCGACCAGCACACTGATTCCGAGAGTCGTTTTCGTCGCTCTGTCCCTCTCGCGCTCGCGGGGCGTCCCGTGCAGGTGCGAGAGAGACAGAGCCTCTTCTTTTCTGCCGCGGCGAAATCAAGCGGCCATTCGAAAGCAGGCGACGGCGCGTCGCAAATCGTGTGAACGGCGTCCGGGGCACGGCAGCAGCGCGGTGCGGGTTAGACTGCGCGTTTAACTTGTCTATCAAAAGTTTAAAATTGAAAAAAAAAATTTTTTTTTTATTTTTTGCAATGATTCCTGCTCTTTAAAAAAGTGCACCAATCAATTTTTTTGCTCTAATTTTTTCCGCTATATTGTCGAGTACCTATATATTACACTCACTGGGGAAAAAATAGTGACATGAAATTTTTTTTGCAGTGTAGAGAGTTTTGTTGGTTTATCTTTCTTTGTTTTTTTTTTTCGCCGATTCCGTGAAAGGGGAAAAAGTGGTACGGAGGAGCAGGGGGTGGTGGGGCAGCAGCAGACTGATTCCCAGAGTCGTCGCTCTGTCTCTCTCGCACTCGTGGGGCGTGCCGTGTCGGTGCGAGAGAGACAGAGCGACTCTGGGAATCAGTCTGCGGCGCGCGTGGTCAGCGTGCCGCGGGGCGTGGCGACCCGCCGCCGGTGACCCGCTAGTGTAAACAGGACGTTTTGTCGACGCCAAGCAGGGAAGCGAGCATTCCGTGTGCACATGCACGACGCATGACGCCCGGGGGAGGGGAGGGGGGAGGGGAGGGGGAGGGGAGGGGGTAGAGGGACGGGGGCTGCTTTAGATGGGGCTCTGGCCGCGGGCTCGGCCTGGACGGACATTCGAGGGTGATGGACATCGTGAAACTCGGCGTCGGCCCGCGTCGCCTTGCGACCACCTTGCGCTGGGCCCGGCATACCAAGCAGCGGCGAGCAACGCGAAGCAGCGAGACTGAGAAAAGCCCGGGGCAGCGCCGCCAGTCCGACACTGTCTCCAGTGACGACCGTTAGTCGAGGTTTACGGACAAAAAAAAAGCCACACTGAAAAAAAAAAATTATCGAGGGGGGGTATGCTCTTTTAAAAACCTGGACCCGACCATGACGCTATTACGCTCTGTTGTGCCTCGTTTTAATCAGGATTTAGCTAAAATCGCCCCCAAAAAGTGGTAAATATTGGAGAACTTCAGCTACTACGCCACTATTTCGCGTGCTTTTACAGATGGAGTGATCCGACTTCCACACGAGTGCATAACCCCTCGAAAAGAAATACATAGAACGAGTAATTTAAATTAATTGACTAATTTTTAGTTCATCTTCGTAAAGGTTACGCCACCGGATTGATTTAACACCTGTGCATTTTTCTTTTCTGTTTCAGACATTTTGAGTGGCATTTGTGATAACAATAACGAAAAAGACGACGACCGGGGGTACAGAGGTAAGTCGAACCCATTCGCCCACTGTGTTTGTGTTAGTGCGTGTCTGTGTGTGGTGTGTTTTTTCCTTAAAAAAACTAATTATATTGCTTGTTTCCTTCTTTGTCGAGTCTCTCCCCTCTCTAGTTCCACCCCTTACATCCCCCTGCAACTCACGACACACCTTTCACTAATACACATAGCTAGTTCGAATTGTTTGCGGCAGAGACCTGTTATTTTCGATGACTGAGACCGAATTCTGCGATGAGGTTTAAATAACGCGATTCCTTCGCAGTAAATCGGTCCCTCGGATTCCGCCAATCCAGTCCGGATAATCGGAAATCGGCACCCCGCTGCCCTTCATGAAGACGCCCTCCACTGTTCTTCGACACAATGCATCCGCACCCTTTTGTCCCGGACCTCCGCTCTCTCTCTCTCTCTCTCTCTCTCTCTCTCTCTCTCTCTCTCTCTCTCTCTCTCTCTCTCTACCCTTGCCCTCTCTAACCACCCCGTTTGCTCATTTTTCCTCGCCAGCCCTAAGCGGGGAAGAAATGAGAGAGAGAGAGAGAGAGAGAGAGAGAGAGAGAGAGAGAGAGCAGACAATTTGGGCGACCACGGCCGGCCTCCGGCCTAGAGGCGCAACCCATAGAGAGTCAGATAATGCACATATAATGCACGACAAAAACATGGGAGCAATTTGGACGCCCTCTATCTCTGAAGTCTTCTCTGTCTCTCTCCCCCCCCCCTCTCTGTCTCTCTCTCCTTTTGCTCGCTTCTCCCTCTCTGTTTATACATATTTTGTCCTGTGCGTTAATTTCCCTTTATCCATGAGTGCTTCCAGCGTTCTGGTCATTTTTCCGCCGTGGCCCCGCTGGTGATGCCTCTTCGAGCGAACCGCGAATACGAATATGCCGCTGGCTGGGGAGAGATAATACTCGGAGTGAATGACCCCTCCGGGCACGCCGAGTGTACCCGAAGTGTACCCGAAGTGTACCCGAAGTGTCCCGAGGAATCTGCGTCGCTGCGGATTCAGATTGAGATTGGTGTTTGAATCGGGATGGAGTGAATCGGTCCTAACGACCCGGTCGGGGCGACAGGTGCTGCCCACCGTCACCCACGGGCCGCCGGCAGTGCTTCGTCTCTCTCTCTCTTTCTCTCTCTCTCTCTCTCTCTCTCTCTCTCTCTCTCTCTCTCTCTCTCTCTCTCTCTCTCTCCTGCGCGGTGGCCCGCGAGTGCGAGAGAGGCAGAGCGACGAAAGCACTGCGGGCTCCTTGAACTAATTTAGCGTCGCGTCACCGCGCCGCCCGTTGCGGAGCGGAGCGTCGCCCTGGAACGGCCGTCGAGCATTAGCGCTCTCTCTCTCTCTTTTCTCTTTTCTCTCTCTCCCCTCTCTCTTTTCCCCCTCCCCTCTCTCTCTCTCTCTCTCTCTCTCTCTCTCTCTCTCTCTCTCTCTCTCTCTCTCACCTCTCCCCCGGGACCACCGACCTTTATTTTGCCTCGCGGTGCTGCCAACAGCGCTTCAATATGTTTTCCCGCGCCGCCGCCGAAACGAAGGGCAGAACGACCCGAACGGAACGAAAACTTGGATAAACATTTTTAAAAGTTGCTGCCCGCGCGGCTTAACTGCGACGGTGTAATGTCTGCCGTAATGGCGCGGCCTGGTGTAAACAAGCGGCCTCGTTTGGTTGCGCCGCGTTTCGACTGCTCCGGGGGAGGGGGAGGGGAGGGGAGGGGGAGTCAGACCTAGGTGTCCCGTCCCGGCGCTCGCGGTGATTTGTGATGAACGTTTTGGCCAACTTCTGGTGCCCCTTATTACATTTTTCCTTCTGGCAACTCTCAAACAGTCGCGCCACCTAATAGCCGTGCTGCCGTCGTCCCCCCCCCCCTCCTCTCTCTCCGCCTCCAGAGAGCAGTTTAGAGTTATGCTACTCGCGCAGGGGTAGAAAGAAGAAAGTGGTGCCGCTGAAGGTGGGCTGCTCGGAAAGCTACACTGGAAAACGCACTGCTTCAAATTTCGCTGGGATGGGAAACACACTCATATAAGTGACTTCTTGAATTTAAAAAAAATTGCGGTTTCCTTTTTTTTTTAGAAAATTTTTGTTCGATGTTGGAGTTTAAAACGCGTCTAGAGTCTTGGCCGCCTCCACTGGTCTTCTGGCGTGCACTCTGAGGGATGAAAACTGTGTGCTTGTCCAGAGTGACAAATTTGAAAACTGCAGACGTCGCCGAGGAGAATTCTTCCACAATTAGCAGTGTCTCCGCTCGGCCATGTTTAAAACGCGCGCGGCCCAAAAACTTTGCAGCCTAATCGAATAAAGCGATGAAATGTGGAACATACTTTGGAGGCGAAATTAATTGCACGGTCAAGATTCTCACTCTCATCCACTCAGAGGACTGACTGCCACCATGGCGGACCTGGCATCTGAAACTGTGAAAAGCGCTCATAAGCAATAAATCTGACTGCAATTATGTGATTGCCTGCAAATGAAAGTAAAAAGGGAAAGAAGCGTCGCGCCTTCTCGCCCGGCGCATTCGTCCCACGAATTAAAGCGAATGTTTTAATTAGAGTAATTGTCGAGTGTCGCGACGTCCGTCGCGGCCGGCTTAGTCTAGCGTTCCGAATCCTTTTCTGGGGGATTAATCCGGGGTTCGTCCTGCATGCACTCGGTCTGGGACACTTTTCCTCGTTTCGATGTTTGTGTCGATTCCGGTCTGCAGTGTGGGCTCTGGCTCCACAAGTCTGACGGGATAGGGGCAAGTATGCGAGGGAAATGTAGGGTAAGAAAAGTACAGCCCCTGTGGCCTTTGGACATCAATTTTACTGTGTAGGGCAGCGGTTCTCAACCTTTCTCGGCTCGCGACCCCAAATTTGTAGCCAAAAATTTCCGCGACCCCCAGGAAAAGTTTCGCGACCCCACTGGACCCCTCCTTTAGCATGCCACTGCGTCTGATCCGAGGCGGGCATTTTGCTCCCTCAACGGGCAATTGGTCTTTGGACCTTCATTTAGCATGCCTCTGTTACGGAGTGCGATTATCAGTCTTAGTTTGGGAGCAGTATTGTCTCAAAGTTGGCCAAAACGCTCAGAAATGTCTTTAAAAAATCATGTTTTGGGTCGATTTTAAGCAGCCACTGCGTCTGATCCAAGGCGGGCATTTTGCTCCCTCAACGGGCAATTGGTCTTTGGACCTTCCTTTAGCATGCCTCTGTTACGGAGTGCGATTATCAGTCTTAGTTTGGGAGCAGTATTGTCTCAAAGTTGGCCAAAACGCTCAGAAATGTCTTTAAAAAATCATGTTTTGGGTCGATTTTAAGCAGCCACTGCGTCTGATCCAAGGCGGGCATTTTGCTCCCTCAACGGGCAATTGTTCCTTGGACCTTCCTTTAGCATGCCTCTGTTACGGAATGCGATTATCAGTCTTAGTTTGGGAGCAGTATTGTCTCAAAGTTGACCAAAACAGGCACAACGATTTTTCAAAGACATTTCTGAGCGTTTCGGCCAACTTTGAGACAATACTGCTCCCAAACTAAGACTGATAATCACACTCCGTAACAAATGAATGCTAAAGGAAGGTTCAAAGACCAATTGCCGGTTGAGGGAGCAAAATGCCCGCCTCGGATCAGACGCAGTGGCTGCTTAAAATCGGCCCAAAACACGATCCTAGCTACCTCGCCGCGACCCCTTAAAATTTTTTCGCGACCCCACTTGGGGTCGCGACCCTAAGGTTGAGAACCACTGGTGTAGGGCAGCGGTTCTCAACCTTTCTCGGCTCGCGACCCCAAATTTGTAGCCAAAAATTTCCGCGACCCCCAGGAAAAGTTTCGCGACCCCACGGAACCCCTCCTTTAGCATGCCACTGCGTCTGATCCGAGGCGGGCATTTTGCTCCCTCAACGGGCAATTGGTCTTTGGACCTTCCTTTAGCATGCCTCTGTTACGGAGTGCGATTATCAGTCTTAGTTTGGGAGCAGTATTGTCTCAAAGTTGCCCAAAACGCTCAGATATGTCTTTGAAAAATCATGTTTTGGGTCGATTTTAAGCAGCCACTGCGTCTGATCCGAGGCGGTATCTCGTCCTCCTTCAACGGGCAATTGGTCTTTGGACCTTCCTTTAGCATGCCTTTGTTACGGAGTGTGATTATCGGTCTTAGTTTGGGAGCAGTATTGTCTCAAAGTTGATGAAAACAGTAAAAAATGCCTTTGCATGCCATTTTGATCCACTTTGAGACAATACTGCTCCCAAACTAAGGCCGATAATCGCACTCCGTAACAAAGGCATGCTAAAGGAAGGTCCAAAGACCAATTGCCCGTTGAAGGAGGACGACATACCGCCTCGGATCAGAAGCAGTGGCTGCTTAAAATCGGCCCAAAACACGACCCCAGCTACCTCGCCGCGACCCCTCACACTAAATTACTATGTAGGTTTTTCTGCGCGCTAATGCACGAAATTATACATGCACTTCCTAACGCACGAATTTGTGCGCGACAATTCACGATTTCCTGCATACTTGCGCACGAAATCGTGCATTTTCGCGCACAAATTCGTGCGTTACGAAGTGCATGTATAATTTCGTGCATTAGCGCGCAGAAAAACCTACATAGTAATTTAGTGTGCTTAAAATTTTTTCGCGACCCCACTTGGGGTCGCGACCCTAAGGTTTAGAACCACTGGTGTAGGGTCCTCGCTCCTTTGAAGGACGCATAGGCCCACGCGGCCTTCACGGCACCACACTGTGATCTGAATAATAAATAGTCGAGACCTTTGCTTGGGTTTTGCCTCAGACTTTGCACTAACCTTCCCTTAATCTGCTCTGTTTTCCACCACACTGTCCTGTGTGTGTACTCAACATTGCATGGCACAAGTCCTGCTCACCGCACGAAAAAAAGTAAATTTCGCGCCACTCAGGCGATGTTTTTTTTTTTTTTGCTGTTGTATTTTTTTTTCTGGCGGCGTACTGCGCGACGTGAACGCGACCCCCACACTGTTATTTATAAGCGATAGGATGGGACTGTATAGATCCGCGAA